GATGGGTAACCGGGTGATGGGCATTAAGGAGGGCAGGTGATATAATGAGCACTGGGTGTTCTATGCAACTGATGAATCACTGAACTCTACCTCTGAAATTAATACACTGTATGTTAATTAGTTGAATTTAAATTAAAAAAATAATAAAAAACCTCTGTTTCCCACTCAGATAGTAAAAATAACTTACACCTGAGTCATCATAATTCACCTAATGCCTTGCCCAGACCTCTGAAGAAGCTCCAAGCACCATGCATTAAAACATAAAAACCACAGAGTACATACATATAAACACAGTAATTTGGTGTTTCTTTACCACCATCTGATAAGGTGCCTCTTTTTCTCAACAGTACCTAATGAGCAATTCCCCATGTCAATAAATCTAAATCTATAAATGGGGACAGATCCAAGTTTTAGAAGCCTGACGCTTACATAATTGGGGAGGGAGAACTCTTTAAAAAATTATCATTACAATACAACATCCCAGTGGCAGTATAATATCCAAAACTGGGGAAGTATGGCAGAGGGAAGTCAGATTGAGAAGAGACAGCAGTTTTAACCAATTACTCTTAGAATATCCTACCTTTGCAAATAATGAGGATAGTGATGTGAACACATGGCAAGAATCGCTCTCAGGGGCGCCTGGGTGGCTCAGTTGGTTAAGAGACTGCCTTCGGCTCAGGTCATGATCCTGGAGTCCCTGGATCGAGTCCCGCATCGGGCTCCCTGCTCGGCAGGGAGTCTGCTTCTCCCTCTCCCACTCCCCATTTGTGTTCCCTCTCTCGCTGTGTCTTTCTCTGTCAAATAAATAAATAAAATCTTTAAAAAAAAAAAAAAAAAGAATCGCTCTCGGGATCTTAGAAGGAGCCAGCGCAGGAAAGGGTCCCTGAGCTCAGGCTTCTTTCACATTGTGGCAAACCTGCCTTTGCCTCCATGATCAGTGGCTGCATAGAATTGTATTATGTGGAGGTACAACATTTTATTGACTTGATTTCCTGTTTCAAACATTTGCTGTCATCAGTAACACCATGATAACCATTCATGTGCTGACATTTTTGTGTGCGTGTCTGATTCTTTTCTTAAAAAGAATTCCAAAAAGCAAAATTTCTGAGCCAAATGGAATGGAAGCTTTTACTACACGTTTCCATGTCATTAACCAGAACGTCATGCTGTTCACCACCAACCCATGCTGCCGTGTAGGACTAGGGCTAAATTCCTTTCAGTTCTGAGCTCTGCTCTCTGCATTGAGCTCCCCATCAGATTCGCTCTCCAGTCCTGGGTTTAGCAGGTCAGCTTCAGCTGGCAGACAGTTCTGCCCAGAACCTGAGTCCCCAGTCCCTTGGTTCAGTTCACAATTCCCTGGTTGTTGGGGATTCCTTCCCCAGCTCTAGTGTGCAGTCCCCATTTACTAGTCTTCTGGGTTAGTCCACGCTGAGAATTGCTGGTGGTGTGCACAGCAATTTCTCTTGGCCAGTCACAGTAACATTTCTTGGGTACTGTTGGTGTGCCGAGATGCATATGTTTGTCTTATTTTATGTAGATAAAGGCTATTGCTAACGGGGATCTCCAAAGCCAAAAAGCCACAAAAATTGGTGGGCACGGGTCGCGAACCTAAGAGCTATTAGAGCAATCGCCCCCAAACCCAAAGACTCCTGTGTTAGGATAAGTTGGTCATCAAACAGGTTAAATTGAACTACGTCACCCACCAGCCTCAAGAAAATTTCCATGAAACGAAGTACACTATAAAACACTGCACAACCCCCACCCAGCAGCACATCCCAATTAGGTATTAGTTTGGCCCCGAGAAACCCAAGGACTTAACCAAAAAGATCCTTAAACTCTGAAGAGTCAAATGTTCCACTTTCCAGCACACCTTTTCAGTCTGTTCTCAATGCAACAGCTATCGTGAACCCGATGGTGCCATTTCTCTGTCCGCCTCTGCAAGACCTTCCCATTTTGCTCAGAGACTAAGACCAAGTCCTTGCAATGGCTTATGAGGCCCCACATGGCCTGGCTCCCTGTCAGCTTCTGACTTTAGCTCCTACCTCTCTCTCTCAACCACCTGCTGTAGCCACACTGGCCTCCTCCCTGTTCCTCTCATACCTGGCTCTTTGCCATCTTTGTTCCTTCTACCAGGAAGGACTTCCCCCCCATAATTCCGCTTGGCTCATACCTTCACCTCCTTTTGCCTTGGTACTTCTTCAAATAATAGACTGTGTGACTTTACAGTTGTTTATCTGGTTTCATCCCCCCTCCCTCCCTCCTGCTGACTTGTAAACTGTGAGGACAGGTACTTTGATCTCGTTTGGGTCTTGTGCTGTCTCAGTGCCTGGATCAGTGTCTGGCGTGATGGGCCAGCCTTCAGTAGAGGCTTTCTGAATAACTGAACGTCGGCCACTGCAAGGATTAATATTATTCTGAAAACCACCTTCTTGTCTTTATTAGAAATCAGTATTTATCCTTTTGTTCTAGAACTTCGATCAGATTTGTTATGAACTGTATTATGCAGACAGTACATCCTATCCCCGAATTAAATGACAAAGCACTTTATATTAGCTGATGGTGGTGGATACAGTGACCAGATCCTCTCTATAATAACTTGATGTTTCCCTTGGCTGGTGTAGGGACCAAAGGCAGGCTGCCACAAAATGTGCCATGTGGGTATATTGACTATTTTAAATAAAAGTTACTTAAGAAACAACTTCTGCAGGGACACTAAGACCCTCCTCTGTACCCCTGACAGGGTTACTGAACCCGCGATCGAGCTGCTCACCTCAGGACCGTCCAATAAGTTGAGTGACAAGTTGTTGAAGCAAGGCATACAATTTATTTGAGAAAGCCCACTAGCCAAGAAGATGGCAGGCTAATGTCCCAGACAACCAACCATCTTACCACCTCCATGCAGGGGAGGAATTTTAAAGGTGAAAGGAAGGAGAAATCAGCCTCAAAGTTTAAGCACATAAAATCAAAGGTTGATTATAATTCTTGAGAGAAGATTTTAGGCTCTAATTGCGGGGTTATCTGTCTGCCTTGACCAAGTCCTTGGTTGCAGTCACTGGGTTGTCACCTGCTTTTGGGTTGGTATCAGTTGCATTTTTTAAGTTCCTTATAGAGCTTTAAACAATATCGATTATTACCTTGGGTACAGTTTAAGCTCTAGATTGTGTTTGAGAGTTACAGGCAGGTATGTTAACGTAGTTTGCTCTGTGTTGTAGGTAAAGGTTTCTTATGTAGAGATTACCTTACTTTCAAACAATTCAAGGCAAGAAGAGAAGGGAGGCCTTCAAAGTGACAATGGTTTTGAGACAGAGCAGGGACTGGATTTGGGTCCCCTCAATCCTGACGCCCAGCATTCCTGGATAGCAGAAACCCTATGCCCCTTGAGCAGCGTATCTTGCAGGAATGTGGAAGCAGGATGCCTACCAAAGAGGGGACTTGACTAGGAAGCCTGGCAAAGACCCAACCAAACCAGTCTGCACCGAGGTTGACCCCAACACTGACTTTCCACCAATGTTATCCCTCATTATAATACTAAAAATCACACCCAGGGGTGGAGATTTAACATGCTCATGAGACACACGATGCATGACAAAGCATGCTCTGTCCAGTGCACCTGCATACTCAACTTCTTGTATCTCTCCCCGCTATATGCTTAGATGTCACTCCTTTCCCACCTTGGCCTCTTTAAAAACTTTCCCTGGCCTTTGTTCAGCCTGAAGGATCCTTTCTTTCGTGCTGTCTCCTTGTTGCTCGAGCATAAGCCCCAATAAATCCCTTGCCTGGGGCACCTGGGTGGCTCAGTGGGTTAAGCGTCTGCCTTCGGCTCCGGTCATGATCTCAGGGTCCGGGGATTGAGTCCCGCATCGGGCTCCCTACTCAGCGGGGAGTCTGCTTCTCCCTCTCCCTCTGGTGCTCCCCCTGCTTGTGTTCCCTCTCTTGCTGTCTCTCTCTCTCTGTCAAATAAATAAATGACATTTTTTAAAAATAAATAAAACCCTTGCCTAGAACTTCCATGTCACAAGTACACTATGAAAGCACACATGAGTGTGTCTTTCCACAATGCCAACTTTATTCAATTACAAAGCAAAGTTAATGCAATTATGAAGTAGGTTCAGGATTCCAAACTCAATGACATTTAACTATGTGGTTACTTTGGCTTCTTAACACGGCACACAAAGCAAAGTATAAGATACAACAAACAAGATAGGACAAGAGGTAAAAAGTTAATGAACAAGAGGCACCTGGGTGGCTCAGTGGGTTGAGCCTCCAACTCTTGGTTTTGGCTTAGGTCACAGTCTCAGGGCTGTTGGATCAAACCCCACATCAAGCCCCACATGGAGGCCTGTGTCGGGCTCCATGCTCAGCTGGGTGTCTGCTTGAGAATTCTTTCTCTGTCTCCGTCTGCCCTTCCCTGCATTTGCCCTCTCGTGCTCTTGTGCTCTCTTTCTCTCAAATAAATAATCTTAAAAAAAAAAAAAAGGGGGTGTACCCAGTTTGCTACAAAAATCCTCCCCTTTTTAGGGCGCCTGAGTGGCTCAGTCGTTAAGCGTCTGCCTTCGGCTCAGGTCATGATCCCAGGGTCCTGGGATCGAGCCCCGCATCGGGCTCCCTGCTCGGCGGGAAGTCTTCTTCTCCCTCTCCCACTCCCACTGCTTGTGTTCCCTCTTTCGCTGTGTCTCTCTCTGTCAAATAAATAAATAAAATCTTAAAAAAAAAAATCCTCCCCTTTTCAAGGGATTTAATCAGTCTTGGACCCTGGCAGACTTCTGGCTCTGCTAGTTCTCAGTTCTGGATGTGTCATCAGCCTGTGCTGGTTTTGGGTGATGTCTGGTCTTAGAGGCAACGCCCTTGGCTGCTGACATTACTGCTTGACATGAGTGGCTCATCTTGCTCTCTACATCCAATCCCCACCCCCCCCCCCCGGTCAATTTCTATTACTTGGCCAGCCCCAAAACCCGAGTAACAATTATTGTTTTGGTTTCCAGTTTCGGTTTCCAGTTCTGGTTTTCAGTTTCGGTTTCCAGTTTCCAGTAAGCAAAACCTATCTCATTGGCTGTGCTCCAGTCAAAGAGGGAGTTGTTATAAATATCCAGAGTCAGATCTTCTGGAAAACACATCCAAGCTCAGACTTTGGAGTCTATTACATAGAAAATCTGCTTCTAGGTAAGACAGGGAGGGGTGGACAGAGGCTGCTCTCTCTTCCGTGGCCTCCAGCCTCTGGTGGGTGGTGGGCTCAGTGCATGCAAGGGAAGCCCATGTGAATCTGCTCCCAGAAGGCTCTTTTGTTTTTCATGAGGTCAGTCAGGAGGGAGGGAAGGGAACTCTAGCCCACACCTGCCCTTTGGCTGTGGGACTCTGGGATGATAAGCCTTGTTCAAGCCTGGGTGGAAGTGGGCTAAGCAGAGGAAAAAGACAAGTGTCAGGAGGAACCAAATCAGAGACATTCCAAGCCCAGGCTTTGGAAGCAGCTGGACTTGGGACAAATCACTTGCCCCCTCTGTGCCAGAGGCCTTTGCTCATCTATAAAATGGGGATAGTAATCTCTTTGTTCTCATTGTCTTAAGTGAGGATGATGGGGGATCGCTGAGCCCACCAGTCGAGAAAGAAGTCTTGAGACGTTTTACGGTGCAAAAAGGTGTTATTTTATAGCACAGGGACAGGACCCATAGGCAGGAAGAGCTGCACGGGATTGGGAGGAGTGACTGATTATTATATACTTTTTAATAAGTGGGGATAGGGATAGTATAAGTCTCTAAGGAGTTTGGAAGCAAGGCTTTCAGGACCTCGAGGGACTAGCTGCTGTTAAGCTAGGGTTACTTTTAGTCTGTAATAAAACAAACATGAAGGCATTGAGGCAGCTATGAATTCCTGGAGTCATGTCATGCTGCACATTTCAGGTATCTATCAGTGAGCTACAAGCTGTAAGGAGATTGAATTTAAGCTACGTTTTTCTTGCCTTTGTTTCCCTCGTCGGGGATGGCATGAGAACAGGAACCCAGAGAAACTTGACGACAGTGTGTGCCTTAAAACATAATTGGTTCTTATTTCCTAATTCTGGTGCCTTTTAAACAGCTCTCTGGAGGGACACCTGGGTGGCTCAGTTGGTTAAGCGTCTGCCTTGGGCTCCGGTCATGATCTCAGGGTCCTGGGATCGAGCCCCGCATCGGGCTCCCTGCTCAGCGGGGAGCGTGCTTCTCCCTCTCCCTCTGCTGCTCCCCCTGCTTGTGCTCTCTCTCTCTCTGCCAAATAAATAAAAATCTTAAAAAAAAAAAAATAAACTGCTCTGTGGAAACTTAAGAAAGTCCCAGAAAGAGCTAAGAAGTTGGCACTGCAGTTTGGGAGGTGGGAGGAAGGAAGCAGCCCGCCTGGAGAAAGAAAGGCCACTTCCTACCCTCCCTTAATCCTTTCCAGGACCCTTTCCTGACCTGCTGCCCTGACAAGCTCAGAGCGGTCTCTCTGTCCCCATTGGAGCCCCTCGAGTTTTTCAAAGTTGTGGGCATGACCCCCACTTCGGGTGTCCCCTCCCCCCATCAAAGCTCCACCCCGTTCAAAAAGAAATAAGCCCACATTGGAGTCATTTGCCCCCCCACCACAGCACACCAAGACTTCATCACAATGTCAACCTCTCCCAGGAAGGTGACCTTTTGAAAGTCCACCTGAAAATAAATATAAAAAAAAATTAAAAAAAATAAAAAAATAAAAAATAAAAATAATAAAAATAATAAATAAATAAATAAATAAATAAATAAATAAATAAATAAAAATTAAAAAAAAAGAAAGTCCACCTGACATGTCCGGCTCAGCACTAGTGAGGTCGTCTGCCACCTGCATTTCTCCCTGGTGTCCTGGCCTGAAGCAATCCTTTCTTTTCTTTTGCTGTTGATGCCTTACCTCACCTTTTCCTTCTTAGGAAAGCCTTCATTTTTGCGTAGCTTCTCAGAGCATCTCTCTGCTTGCTGCATGGACTGCTGCCCTGTGACCAGGGGGCAGGGGGCAGGGTGCAAGAGCATCAGGCTCAGCCACTCGCCGCTGACAAAATCCAAAGGCAGAGAGAGAGAGAGCAGGGGTGACACAAGAAAGGGATTTATTTTAGTGAGGCCAATGCAGGGAAGACAGTGGACCAGTGTCCCAAAGGCTGTCTCCAAAGTGCTGAAAATATTGCCAGGTTTACATAAGGAAAATGTGGGACAAAATCAGTGCGTACTGCAGATGGACAGTGAAGGTCATTGCCTTGGGTCTTTATTGCTGGGGAGTGGAGGGGTAGTTTCGGTTCCCACCGTGGGAGGCTTGGCCCGCCCAGGCTCCTGCCTGAGTTAAAAAATAAGCTGTAAGAGGAACCTAGTCAATTAGAAAGGAAAACTGAGGTCGAAATGGAGGTGTTGAAATCCTTTCAGCCCGATATGTGCATGATTTGCTGAATAAAGCCAATCAGATCCTCACATTTTCTTGGGTTGAATTTTGTCAACAGCCGTCTCTGCAGATTAGACTCAGGTTGATGCTTGTCACTTTCTGCACCATGGAATTCTTCCCAGTAGCCACTTCAGTGTCTTCCCTGGCTTCTAAGGTAATGGGGTCCAAAGTAATGTCAGTGAGCCTGGCCAAAGCCACAGAGGTGGTGTCCGTAGGTGAGTGCTCCCAGAGGGGCTGGTGGGGGGGCGAGGAGATGGATGGGGAGGGACAGAGTCCACTTCTAGCTTCACCTCCTTGGTTTTCACTGACGTGTCCTGATTTTAACAAAATTCTTCAGTTTGGGCCCATTTTCTTCATTAGTTTGTGTGAGCGCCCTCTCCAGTCTTAGCTATTTATTCTCGCTGTTTATCTTCCCTTTTGCCTCTGTTATATAACAAGAATTCAATCGAGTACATTTTAAAGATCTAACTGGCTTTATCAGTAGTCAGTTTATTAATTTGGCCAGCTTCCCAGTTAGCAAGGAGAGGGGAGCCCCAAAGGGCTACAGAAAATTCAAGTTTTTAAAAGGTAGAGAGCAGTAAAAAAGAAATTATTAGGAGAGAAACCATTGTTTTAGGCAAGGTCACCCTCCTAAGGAGAATGGACAGGGCCCCTCAGTAAATTCCCTAGTGCTCTCTGGGAAATCCCATGTTGACTGGTTAAGGGTTATATTCCTGGGGGACTGAAACTGCTGTCAGGTTAGGTATTAAGTCTTGGTTTACACTTGGGGCCTTAACGGAAGTGACGCCATTTTGGGCCTGTGATTTTCTTTTTTAACCGCCCCCCCCCCCCAGCCTTCATTAACTCCCTCCCTCAAAGTCAACCTTTCTGATATGCTTAATGTGTATCTGTTTTTCATATGTATTTTTGCAAAATGGGTGTTAGCTTTCTGTTTGCAGGTGTTTTAATTTATGTATAGAATAGTATGCTGCCGACCTCATTGTATTGCTTTTTCCACCCTGAGAACTATGTTTTTGAAATTGTCAGGGTCACCAAGTGAGTATTTAGTGCTGGCTTCCAATTGTTGCAAACACTGCCACTTAGCTGTCACTCTCCTGGTGCAGACACCCAGGGCCCTCCCTCCTTCCCCAGCACAAACAGCAGCATAGTATGGAATGGGGAGGACGGGGCCTCCGACCCTGTGCACTCACCCTCTGTTCTTTCTCAGGACTCACCCTGTCATCCACAGCTGCTCTGAGCCAGGCCACAACTTCCCTGGGATCCCTGCTGGGGACACTGAAAGCCTCCTGCCTGCTGGGATCCCCTGTGGTGAACTTGACTGTTTTCAAGGTTGGAGGTAACTGGCCCTGGGTAACCCAATACATGCAAGTTTGACAAGGAAGTCAGGGAGTCCATGAAGGCTTATTGCAGTCTGAAAAGATTTGCTGAACAATATGAGAAAGTTATGTAATCTCCCACTAAGAAAACATTGACCCTGAACTGACATCCTTGTTCAGAGAGCGTGGCATCCTGTTCCTTCGCCTTGACCAACACCAAGCCCTAAACCACTCTGCCAAGTATCCCTCGTTCACCCAAGAAGGGATGCAGGGCAGCATGCCTGCTTTGCCACATCTGTAGGGGTGTGTTTGTTTTTGTTTCATTTTGTTTTGTTTATTTTAAACAAATCAGGCTTGGATGGCAGAGAGAAAGAGAAAGATTCATTTCTGCTCTCCCCACAAACAGCCCCCCATCGACCAAGCCACACACAGATTGAAAAAAAACACTCTATGTGATAACTGGGTTTTCTGGAACGAGGACCTCAAACCCTGTCTCCAGATAACTCCAGGTTAAAAAAGCATGCAAATCCATTTGGGACAAGTCATTCGAGTCTGGAATCAGACTCCCTAGCAATCCTTGCCAAGCTCAGGGCTGCAGGGTCCCCTTCCCCAGAAATCCCCCATGTCTGAATGAAGCAGGGAAGCCTCAGGTGAGGTCATTTCTTCCCGTCTCCAACATGGGCAGCGCCATCACCCTAGGTGGGCTGTAGGTTCAGGGAGCCAGGGGGAGGCCAGTATGGATCCACTCACAGAATGTTCTTTGGTTTCTAGCCAAAGCTGCAGCAGCTGTGATAGGAGGAGGTGAGTCTCTGCAGGGAAGGGGTTCAAGTCCTTATCTGGCCCCCCCAAGCCTGGGAGCAACCATCCTTGTCCAGGCCTTGTACAGATGTTGGGGAGGAGGTGAATCCATGGAGATGGGCAGGAAGCCAGGAACAGGAAACAAGCAGCAAGGAGCTTGGACCCATGGGTGTCATGGAAACTGTACAATGGACACAGTCCCAGCAGGGTCCCCATCTCCTCTCACACAGGACATTCACTGTGTGACCCTGGGTGTGTCTTTGAACTCTTCCGAACTCCTGTTTCCTCTCTGAGAAATGGGCCATGCCCGTAGTCTCTCCTGAGCTCAGAGTTCACCCCCTTGCCTGGCCCCCCTCCCCCGCTGAAGCCCCCTGAGCCTGATTGAGTGTGTGTGGGGGGGTCCCTTCCCCTGAGCCCTCCTCTTAACCCAGCTCCTCCCCCCACAGCCCTGTCCACGGCGGCCGTGCCCGCCATGCTGAACGCCGTGGGCTTCACCGGGGCCGGGATCGCCGCCTCCTCGCTGGCGGCCAAGATGATGTCCGTGGCTGCCGTTGCCAACGGGGGCGGGGTCGCCGCCGGCAGCCTGGTGGCCACGCTGCAGTCCGTGGGTAAGTGTCCCCGGCGGGGCTTGCTGTGCAGCGTGAGGAGGACAAGAGCCTCAGGACCCAGCCCAGATCTTAGCCTCACCTACCCTCAGTCTCTGTCCCTAAGTGTCACCCTCCAGGTTCTCTCTGGGAGGTGCAGGAGGGAGGGACGGAACCCTGGCCTGGGGTGTGCAGGCTTCAGGCTGGCTATCCGCAGTGGGTTGGCTGGGTGCCTCAGGGATGTGTGCCTCACCTGGGCTCAGCCTTTTTCCCTGGAGAGTGACAGCTCCCGGTTCTGGCTTTCTCCATTGGAGTGCATGCCCCAGGGCTGCAGGCCCCTGCCCTCCCAAGGCAGAGATCCTGAGGGCTTTGGGAAACAGGAGGGTGCTGACTGGGGTTCCGGGGCCTCAGACCCTCCCGAGGGGCCCTGAAGTCTTTGACCTCACGGTTTTGTCCCACGGAGCTGGCCCAGTTCTGCAGCTCTGAAGAGCTTGGCTCCTTCCCACTCTGCTCACCCTCTGCTTCTCCCCTAGGAGCAGCTGGACTCTCACTGTCATCCAAAATCATCCTGGGCTCCACAGGGACAGTGCTCGTGTCCCGCATGGTGGGCCTGTAATAGTTTCCCGCCTCTCCGCCTGCAGAGAAGAGCCCTGCCGCCACCGGCCCGCCCGATGCAGGGAGGGACCAACCCTGGGTGACAACTGTACCCTGAGGAAAATAGGAATAAAAATTGTTATTGCAGCCCCTCCTGAATCCCTTCCTTCCGGCTTGAAGTCAGGGGGTCGGGTCACTCCTCTTTCCCAGTCTTATGGTCAGAGTGACATGGCGTAGGGGTGCAGTCAGCTGGGATGGGCCAAAATGTGCAGACCGGTGGCTGCCCCTGCCCAGCTTGTGACTCTGTGTGTGACTCGGGGTAGGCCACCTCCTCTGTGGCCTTCATTTGTCCCTCTCAGCATGGGGAGTTGGTTCAAATGACCTCAAAGATCTCAGCCAGGGTGGGTGTTTGGCTCAGTTCCTGGGCAGTCAGGAACCGGGTGGGGGCTGGGGGCCGGCGGGCGAGGGCATCCCTCCAAGCTGCAGGTCTAATGGCTCTGTCCTAAGTGGCCTGGCTCAGAAGGCCCAGGCCCCATGAGTCACTGCTCCATCCTCAAGTTAAAGTCCACCGTCCAGCCCTTGCTGTTCTCCTCAGCAGCTAGAAGGGAAATCTAGTTTGCCGGGGGCTCTGACCTTTCTAATTCATGGCCCTAGTCCCTAAATGTCGTCCTCCCAGAACAAGATCTTAGAGAAACTTCTCTTCGCTAGGATGGCTTCCAACTCGGAGCATGGGAAAACTGGCTTATGTGCTGATTTGCTCCTCCTTTCCACAACTCTTGGGGCACATGCTGTGGGTCAAGCCTGGCCAGGTGCTAGGGAACTTGCTGGGGAACTTGGACTTTTTCTAGACAGCTGGGAGAGTCTGCTGGGGGGATGGACCAACAGGTAGACAGCCATCGATGCTGTGCTCTGGTTAAGTGCCATGCCAGAGGCCAGCCCAGGGCTCCGGGGCCCAGCAGAAGGCATGGAAAGTCTTAGTCTCCTATAACAAAAAGCCTATAAACTGGGTGGTTTATAAGTAACAGAAATGTATTTTTCACAGTTCCAGAAGCTGGGAAGTCAGAGATCAAGGCACTGGCAGCCCTAGGTTGCTGGTGAGAAGTTGTTTCTTCGAGGGCCCCTTTTTGCTGTGCCCTCACGTCATGGAAGGGCAAGAGCTCCCTCTGGCCTCCTTTGTAAGGGCACTAATCCCACCCAGGAAGGCTCCACCCTCATGATCTCAGCATCTCCCAAAGGTCCCACCTCCTGATACCATCATCTTGGGAGTTAGGACTGCACCCTGAATTTTGGGGTACACAAACATTCATACCATAGCAGGCATATTGGCATATCATAGAAGTTTGGGTTCTATCCTGAGGGTTATGGAGAGACAAGGGTTTCCAACATGATATTGACCCAATCGCAGACCTGCACCCCTGCACACTCTGTCCTCAGTGCTGTCAGCAGCCTGACAAGATCTTGGTTTCCAACAAGAACCAAACTTAGGAGTGTAGAGCTATGGACATTGAAAAAAGTTAAGCGACTCATCCGTGTCCACCAGTGGTGTCTAGTTGGATCACTGAAGCATGGTTGCTACCTAGCCATAGGAATCACCCCTTAGGGTAGTAATTCAATATTTGGTTCTTTTTCTTTCTTTTCTTTCTTCGATGCCTCGGAGAATCTGATAAAGGCTGTGAATCCTCTCCCCACCAAAACACACACATTCCCAAAATAATGCCGCCAACTTCAAGGCCTTCATTAGAACTTCTGAAGGCCTCCTTGGAGCTGAAGGTAAATGCCCCTGCTTTAACTGGAGGTCCGGGTCTCCACCAGGGCATGTGGGTCTGCCCTGGATCCGGAAGGTTGGACAGGTTGGCTCACTCCCTGCCGAGGCCCAGCAGGCCACTATGCAAGACCACCCATTGTTCTGGACTCTGCCCTGACCTCCTTCGCTCCACTCCCAGGTCCCAGGGGGCCTGTTTTATGCTGACCTGCTTCTTCCCCTTTGGCTGTCAGGTTTGGCCTCTGGAGTAGGTGGATTTCTTTTTTTTTTTTTTTTTTTTTACTTTTTTTACTGTGATGTTAATCCCCATACATTACATCATTAGTTTTTGATGTAGTATTCCATGATTCATTGTTTGTGCATAACACCCAGTGCTCCATGCAGAACGTGCCCTCTTTAATACCCATCACCAGGCTAACCCATCCTCCCACCCCCCTCCCCTCTAGAACCCTCAGTTTGTTTTTCAGAGTCCATCGTCTCTCATGGTTCATCTCCCCCTCCGATTTCCCCCCCTTTCATTCTTCCCCTCCTGCTATCTTCTTCTTCTTTTTTTTTTCTTAACATATATTGCATTATTTGTTTCAGAGGTAGAGATCTGAGATTCAACAGTCTTGCACAATTCACAGCGCTTACCAGAGCACATACCCTCCCCAATGTCTATCACCCAGCGACCCCATCCCTCCCACCCCACCCCCCACTCCAGCAACCCTCAGTTTGTTTCCTGAGATTAAGAATTCCTCATATCAGTGAGGTCATATGATACATGTCTTTCTCTGATTGACTTATTTCGCTCAGCATAACATGGAGTAGGTGGATTTCTAAGCACGGTGCCCAGTGACCCTCAACGTCATATACTGTCCCGCCCTCAGGGTGTGGTGGGTCCTGTGAACATGATAAGATACCACTTCCATAATTATGTTCAGTTATATGACAGAGGGAGATAATGCAGGTGTGTCAAACCTCATCATATGAGCCTTTTAAAGGCAGAGAATGTTCTCTGTTCATCACAGAGGAGGAATCAGAGATTAGAAGTGGGAGGGGGATTTGAAGATTCTTACCATGGGCTCCGAATGCAAGCCACATTTGGCTGAACACTTGATTTTGGTCTTGTAAAACCCTAAGCAGGGGCGCCTGGGTGGCTCAGTCGTTAAGCGTCTGCCTTCGGCTCAGGTCATGATCCCAGGGTCCTGGGATCGAGCCCCACATCGGTCTCCCTGCTCTGCGGGGAGCCTGCTTCTCCCTCTCTCGCTCCCCCTGCTTGTGTTCCCTTACTGTGTCTCTCTCTGTCAAATAAATAAATAAAATCTTTAAAAAAAAAAACAACAACCCGAAGCAGACAACTCGGTGAAGCCTGCCTGGACTTCTGCCCTACACTATAACGTAATAAATGGGCCCTGATTTTTGGCTAGGTGCATGCTCCCCACGGAAGGACTGCATTTCCAGTATATCTGGACTGGGTTCTGGCCAGTGGAAGATGAATAGAATGAAGGATGCCATTCTCTGGGCATGCAGTTAAAGGGAGCGGGTGGGCTCATCTTTCCCCCTGGGCTCCTTCCCATGAGTTCTGCAGGCAGGGGAATGACCATCTTGAACCTGCAGATGAGAGCAGCACATTAAGGAAGGCAGAACAAGGGGGCGCCTGGGTGGTTCAGATGGTTAAGTGTCTGCCTTCGGCTCAGGTCCTGGGATCGAGTCCCACATTGGGCTCCCTGCTCAGTGGGGAGCCTGCTTCTCCCTCTCCTTCTACTGTTCCCCCTGCTCGTGCTCACTCACTCTCTCTGTCAAATAAATAAATAAAATCTTAAAAAAAAAAAAAAAAAAAAGGACGGCAGAACAAGACTTTGGCACCCTGGGCCTCCAGGAGCCGAGCCACCCCTACCCCACCCTCCCACCCCCAGCTGAGACTCATCTGACTGACTAACAGAAAGAAACTTCTCTTGTTTAAGCCAAGAGGGTCTCTTTCACAGCAAGCTGACATATTCTAATGAACACAGTAGGGGATCTTGATGTCAAGCAATAGAGGAATCAGTCCAACAGAGGGTTGCATTTACCTGTCCTTTTCCATACATCACTATAATAATAGTAATGGACTAAAGAGGCTTAGCACCACGTGGGCAAAGAGAAGGAGAGAGAAGATGACAGGAACACAACTTTGGGAGCCAGAAGTCACATGGACACATGGTTCCACTGAGCAGTCCCAAGAAAGCTGAATCTTAAGTTGTCAGTGGAGAAGGGGAGAAAGAGACAGCTCTCCTCTGGAGGACCCCCAAGGGCTCCACTCCTGGAGGGAGGCATTGGGGTGGACCAGCACAAGTCTGTTGGATATATCTGTTTAGGAACGAGGCAGATCCCCAGGGGTCCCCTCCAGCAGACAACTGGCACTTTATTTTTGGAAGGTTTGGGTCTCTGGGACAAGGGGCACCTGATGCAGCTGAGAGCAGAAGCTTCATACTAAAAAATGAAGAGTTCCCATCCAAGTGTAGAGACCCCCGTTCTTCATCAATAGGCGCCCAGAGCGCTGGCAGCGAGGTTACAACAGCCAGAACAAAGGGAGGAGGATTCTTCTCAGGAATCTTACCTGCCCAAGGCGCTTGGGTGGTTCACTCAGTTAAGCAGTTGACTCTTGATTTCAGCTCAAGTCATGATCTCAGGGTTGTGAGACCAAGGCTTAAGATTTGCTCTTTGCCTCTACCCCACCCTTAAGAAACTTAAAAAAAAAAAAAGGCTCAGCCAGATCCCAGTACAGTCCCGAGTTGACAAGAGCCCCTCCTGCCGCAGGGCCTGACATGAGACATCAATGAATCATCAGGCTCAGACACAAAAGGGAAATGATGTCTCTGGCCCTCTCTCTCCTTTCACCCCCAGCCTTCTGATGCAAGTGCAGCGTCGTCACTGGTTTCCCCACCCGAGAGCAGAGGGCCCCAAGGGGGACCACAGTGGCTGGTCTGAGAGTGTGGAAAACAGTAGGTACAGAAAGGAGTCCTGAGGTGAGGGGAGGGTGGCTGGCCCAGGAGGGATGCTCCACTCTACGGCTTCCATCAGCACCCCGTCTGGGTCTGAGAAGAAAGGGAGCCCTGCCACAGTCCTCCTGAATCCCCACAGAAACTTCTGAGATGGCGCTAAAGCACCCTGAATACCCACAGAGCAAAGCTAAAAGTGCCGGAACAGGGGGATCAAAGCAAGTAACATCAACAGCAGATCTCCTAGGGTCAAGACATCGCCCATGCCGCATCCCATAAAATCTACACACCATTCCAGGAAAGGCAATGCTGCTGCCCCGGTTTTATAGATCTCATTGCAAGAACCTATTAAGAGGCACCGGTGACCTGGGTGGCTCAGTTGGTTGGGCAACTGCCTTCGGCTCGGGTCATGATCCTGGAGTCCC